GAGCGATCGGCTCTTGATTTCTGCTGGAATCATGATCTCAGGGTCCTGGGATCCAGCCTTACATGTGGCTCCATGCTGGGCGGGGAGTCTGCTTAAGACTGTCTCTCTCCCTCTCCCTCTGGCCCTCTCCCACTCCTGTGCTTTCTCTCTAAAAATAAATAAATAAATAAATAGACAATACATCTAAATACAATGTAACTAGTTATTGTCTATCTCTATTTAGATCACAGACTAAGTGAACTTATAAACTGAGCCTTTATAGAAAGTACAGAAACATCTTTGTGTGAATTTTTTTTTTTAATATAAAGAAATTTCCATGGAACCCAAAGTCACTAGCCAAGGTGTATATGGATTTAAATATAGATGATGTCTCAAGTATTCTTGCAATTTAACTTTCCTTTAATGGAAAACATTAGATAGGAATTCTTCTATAAAATGTTAAACTAAGGGGAAAAAGAGAGAGAGAGGCAAACCATAAGAGACTCAACTATATGGAACAAACTGAGATGGAGGGGAGGTGGGCAGGGGTGGGCTAAATGGGTGATGGGATTAAGGAGGGCACTAGTTGTTATGAGCATTGGGTGTTGTATGTAAGTGATGAATCACTATATTCTACACCTGAAACCAATTTTACCATATTTATTAACCAACTAGAATTTAAATAAAAACTTGGGATAAAAAATAAATAAATACATAAAATGTTAAACTAACATATCTTCAGTGGTTTCATTTTCCTCTGTTTTCTTTAGCAACAATTCAGAGTGTCTTCAGTCATAAATCAGCACAGTTTAAGGCTATTTTAAAGCCTATAAAACTATTCTTAAGGGAGCCATGAATCCAGATTACAAACAGTCACTTTCAAACTACTGAGCGAATTGATTTATTTTAAAATACCACTTTATTCCACAGATTGCTCAATAACCTTATGACATGAATCACTTCAATAAAAAAAATTGAGAGGAAGTTGAATTGGGTCATTTTGGGATGTGTGTGTGTGTGTGTGTGTGTGTGTGTGTGTGTGTGTGTAGAGTGTGGAAAAGAATGTTTGATATTTATTGTGATCCTGACACTTTCTGCCTTTCTGAAAACAATGAAAGTAATTAAGCTCTTTTAGGCATAAGAAACATTTTCTCATTTATAAAGCTGCCAATTCTTATTCTTGTGAAGAAATATTTTTAGCCTTTTTAAAAGCCATATTAAGTTTGATAAATATTTGGAGAATATTTAAATATTTAAAAAATAATAATGCCTTAAATTTATATGAAAATTGTTGATTAGATATATGAATTTTTCATTTCCGTATTGAACTGTATAAATATGGTCCCAGAAGCATTTCATATAAAATATGTCTTATTCATGTTGCTATAATATAATATGTCCATTCAAGTTGCTATAACAAATTACCATAGGCTGGGTATCTTATAAACAATAGAAATGGATTGCTCACAGTTCTGGAGGCTGGAAGTGGGAGATCGGGGTGGCAACATGGTCATGTGAGGGCCCCCTTCTGATAGCAGATTTCTTATTGTATAATCACAGGGCAGAGGGGCTAGGGATCTCTCTGGGGTCTTTCTTCTAAGGGCACTAATCCCATTCATGAGGACTCCACACCCATGGCCTAATCACCTTCTAAAGACCCCACCTACTAATAGCATCACCTTTGGGGTTTAAGATTTTAACAAACAAATTTTGAGGGGACATAACATTCAGATCAGACCATAGCAATATGAAAATATCTTTTTTCATTCTCATAAGCATTAGTATTAAATCTTAATTTTTCACATTAATAATTATATCAGTCGTCTGATAATTAAAATACAAAACATCAAACCATAGTCCTCTCATTATTCATAGAAATAGTGAAGAATAATTTATAGAAGCAGGGCAGGGCAATAAATGTCCACTTTAACTTAAATATTGTTCTCTTCTTCAAATTCATGAAACTAACCAAGGAATCTTTACCCCTGAGGGTTTGTTTCTAGCACCTTGATTTCTTGTGAAATACGGTCACTGATAGAGAAAACTGCATCACAAATATGAGTCACAACCTGTCTTTTTCATACCCATTTCTCCCTTTTATATAATCCCTCATAATTATTTCTTCCTCTCTCTTTTACTGTCTTTTCATACCAGATCGTGAGCCATAATATTAACTAATATTTAGTGAGCATTTGCTGAGACAGGCACTATATTATACCCTTTTCAAGTATTATCTCTTAGATCGTCTCAAAAACACTGTGGGAAAATAAAAATATAATTACCATTTTTCGATAGGGAAATGGGAATAATCTTAGGCGGTTTAGTAACCAGGAATACAGAGCTGCTAAGTGATGAAACATGTATTTAAACCCAGGTCTATCTGATGGCCAGCACACTTGCTTTTAAGCATTCTATCACTCTGACTCTAATTCAGGAAAAGGTCCTATGATCAAGGCACTTCTGTGTCTCCAGCACACTGTGTCCACTAGATGGTGTGTCACGTTCAAAACATAATAGGGTCAAATCAGATGATGAAATGACAGCAAGAAAGTATATTTATAAGTGGACCTTTTTAAAAAACACACAGGCATACACATACATATTCTGTACCCGGGAATAGAATAACTAATGCTTATTTCCACTGAAATTGATATTGTCAATAATCATTTTAACTAAGATATATTAATGTTATTATTATATGTGGAAATTTATAGTTGGCACATGTTTTCTTTATACATTAATGTATTAGAAGAATTTGTACAACATTTCTATGAGGTAGAAGATGGGCATTATTATTATTCTCATTTTACTTAGTGATTAAGCAGTTTTGTTGTAGGAACAAAGCTAGGAAGTAACCAAAATATCATTCAAATTTGTAATCTTATACATAAAATTCTATTCCTTTTCATTATGTCATATGGAAGGATGGGAGAAAGACCTGCAAATTCCAAACATAGAGAACAATCTATTTGTTGTCAGTTTTGATTTCTAACCCTCTATTCCTTCTAATTACTTTTTTTGGTACTTAAAGTGAAATATACAAAGAAATGATACTTATTTTATTGAATACTTGACAAAAAGACCTCTCGATTCCTATGGATTTTATGTATAAATCATGCTATTCTTTTCTTAGGGAAGTTCAAAACAAGGATGAATAGGGTATTCAGTAGTGTTTAACTAACACATACATAGGCTTCAGTTCATGTTCTAGATATTTACTTGATACAATTCCAGGTATATATAACTAAGAAAAAGCATTCACAAAGAGATAGTGTTTCATCCTCTACTTGAATTATGGGACTTGCAAGGCTACTATTTCCACGTATTTGTAGGAAATCAAACTGTTACTCACTGGAACTTATGACTAGAAAAATCACTTCAAATAAATGTAAGATTGTGATTAACAAAACTCTGCAAGACAAATGTCTAAATACGAATGTTTTCATTTTTGCTACAGAGTACATATAAACTGAAACTACTGAACAAGGATTGATATTCTTTACTGATGGTAGATATTAGTCATGGCTTATGTATTTTACTCCCACAGAAGAGGGTTTTCAGTATATTATCAAATGGGTGAGACTAGAGGAAGTTAAGACTTATAAAGGTATCCATTATTGCAAAACCAGGCAACAGTCTACATTTTAATACTTCCAACGTAAATTCTATATCTCAAATAAGTTTTCTAAAAATATTTTAATAAAATGTTCTCTTACTATGGAGACTTGAAAGTTAAAACAAACTATTTTTAATATCACTCACTGTTTTGAAACAGAAATATGGATCAATATTTACATTTTTCATTGAATTTAAGTGTGAGATAGTTTCATAGCTTGCCACTAGGAATTGTACGCAAGTCATTAACTGAGACTCCATCATTTATATTCACTTTTAAAGGATTTTATTGGATCTACCTCTTGATCTTACTTAAATTGGTAATTTAAACTCTATTACTTTAAAAGCCAGCAAAACATGCCTGTTAGAGCTGAAGTTCAAACTTCAGTCAATAGAAGGGAAACACAGTTGGCAGATTCATGAACGTTGCTGTTATGCACAGTATAATTCAGGAAACTGTTCATTTGCATTACATGCTTTTAGTAAGTAAAACTTCCTGCTTTGATCTGTGTTGCATTTCATTTAACTTCCTGGTATCAAAAGCAACAGTTTGAAACAGGAAACTCTTATTTATTAAGGGCCTACAATCAAAGGAAAGCTTCTTACTTTAAAGTCAGATTTAGTAGTAAAAAAGTAAATTAAAATAGACTCTCTGAGTTTGTTCATTGTTTTCCTTCCTCTGGAGAATAGCCTGATTTAAGTTTTATTTGTGATTCTAGAATACATTTGTGAAATATTAATATTTATAACATTTTTCACTTAGAATACTGAGAACAGTTCCTGAAATATGTTTTAATATTTTAATCAAAAAAAAGGTTTATGTGGTGAATAATTAATGTATGAATTAAATAAAAAGTGCTTTTTGTTTTCTTCTGGCTCAGAGGAGTGAATTAAAAAAAATTCACATTTTACAAAGTTCATTTCAATGCCATCTTTAGAAAGAGCAATAATTTAAAAATCTTTTAAAATATTATTAATTCCAAAAGTAAAACAATTTTCATAACCTTTATTTAAATTTCATATAAAATACCTGTTGGGATTTAGAAAAGTCCATTACATTGACTTTATTTGAAGATTTAAATTATTATTTTTTGTTTGTGTTCCAAACAACTCTATGCGAGCTAGTCATTTGATGACAGATGCATGAAAAATGAAATCCTTTCATAAAAACTTATATTGGAGATGCAAAGCTATTTTATCTGCTTCATATATAAGTTCAAAACAATGTATTTTCAAATAATATTTTTAGTAACAACAAAGTAAATCAATGATTATGATTTGTTCTTTCTGTGAAAATTCTCATGAGCTATATAATGATACCAAGTTATTAGCAAAAATTATTAGCCTATCTCCAGGTTTCAGTAGTTCCTAAGATATCTAATTATCAATATCCATTTCCTTTAAAGTCTCAGATATCCATCAGTGTAGAAGAGTGGGAAGACACCAAAGACTCCAAAGAACAAAGTCATCACCGAAGCAACCACCGCAACTCAACTTCCAGTGACCAGTCAGACCATCCCTTACTGAGGAGAAAGAGCATGCAGTGGGCCCGAAGACTGAGCAGAAAAGGTCCAAAACACTCTGGTAAAACAGCTGAGAAAATAACCCAGCAGCGACTGAACCTCTACAGGAGGTCAGAAAGACAAGAGCTTGCTGAACTTGTGAAAAATAGAATGAAACACTTGGGTCTTTCTACAGTGGGATATGGTATGCTCTTTAAAAGTATTGTATGCTATGGACTTGTGATTCTTACCATAGTCTTTGTGTAGTTGGTTCAGATTTAGTAAGTTAAGAATCACATTTTTGTTTCACAGGCCAGTTTGAAGGAACTACTGACACATATCTAATACAGAAAATTATAATGATGACAGTAAAAGTAAATGCTAGAAATATTAAGTATTTGCTTAGTTCTCTAGGCACTCTGCTGAACTTATTATATGAATTATCTTAATTTTAATTTTCTCCCAAACTTTTCCATTTTAGAGATAAAGAAACTTAGTCAATAACTTGCTAATTAGCTTTTTAATAGCATGGCTGAGATTTATATCCTGTTCTGTCATGCTCTTACACACACACACACACACACTCTCACACACTCACACACTCTCACACACACACCCAAACCACATTTTATTCTAGGAACTGGGATAATATGAATTTGAGGCATTGGCAAGTAACTAAATGTACCAGTCACAAATGAACCAAATCCATAAAATTTGTTTAGTTTCTTGTGGTCCAGAAATAAAAGTCTACAAAAGCTTTAATTTGAAGCTCAAATAGTATGTGATTTCATATAGCGTAGATTGCATCAATAATTATTAAGTTCCTGTGTTGATCTATGATTGCCATATAGACCAAAAAGCACAGCTTAAATAAATAATGCAAAGATAATTTTAAAATATATTCTTTACTACTCTATGAATTTTATTTAAAAAAGAAATTTAGTCAACTTAGAGTAAAGCCAGATGATAAAGTGGTTTTTGTTTTATATATATAACTTGGGTAAACCAGAAGCTAAGATAATATAAATATCATGCAGGTTAAGGATAAAATGGAATGCATTCTATATTTGTCCCATCTCATCTTTATTATTAAAGTCTCAACTTGAAACAGTGTATATAGGGAGAAATTTTAATTATTGAATTAGGTAGAGTTTAAAAGAAGTTAACCTGCTAGAACTATGCAAGGTGCTTTATGTGTATTTTTTCATTACTCCTCATAACCCTGAGTGGATAAGTGTCCCACTTTACCCTAAGAATTTGAAGCTTAGAGCTTAAAGGCCTTGCTCAAGGGCATACAGTTGAAATGTGTTGGAGTCAGGATTCCATATGTAATTGAAATAATTATTTAGTACTTACTTAAACATAGTACAGACTAATCTGTTAGCAATAATTTTAATATAATCACACAAGGTCTTACGTTAAAGAGTAAATTCAAAGAAAAATTGATCTTCCTTTTAAAAACTATATTAATAATTCTTTGCTAATTTGATGACAGTATGATTGTATTTCTTATAGAACTATAGTCCTATATTTATGTGTACTTTTGTTAGTTATTATTCAGCTACTCTTTCTTTTTTTGGAAAGTTCTAGTAAATGATTGTTCATCCAAGTTCCAGCTGTGTTTCATGAACATTATAACTCAAGGCTGGTCCTGTAAGCAGTGTGGCAGATAACAGTTTGACTCTAAGAGACACAAAAATGCATGAACTGGCTGCATGGGAGAATCATCAGGGAACATATTATGTTTTTGCTAATGAAACTTCTATCAGGTACCTTGCATTTAGTTATTCTTGTTTTTTTTTTTTTTAAATAAATCTGTTAATTTAATTCTCACACTAACTCTTACAGAAAAGAAGAATGGATATTGTCCACCTTCTTTTTTTCTCTCTCTTTTCATCTTTCTTTCTTCCTGTCTCTGTCCCATTCTAATCATCTATTCATCCATAGGTCCATCAATCCATTCTAAGGCCATGTACTAGCCACCTTTAATAACATAAAGATTATGAAAACAGGATTGGGATTTAACACATCATGAGCTTCTGGACTTCTCCATGTGTTCCTAACTCACAATAATTCATCCATCCAACAGATAATATTGGGCTACACTGGGAATAGAATAATGACCTATTCACATAGGACCTCTGCATTTTTGGAACTTATATTCTAGTATCAGCCAGTAGGCTCATTGAATTATTTAACCTCTCCAAGCCTCTTTTTATCACTGTGAAATGGAATTAATAATGTCTGTCTTATAAGTTTCTTGTGAGGGACAAATGGGATAATGAATAATAATGTGCTGAGCCCAGAACTGGCATTCAGTTAATACCACAAATCTTCCATTTATCGATTTAAGTACTACTGTATGTACATCTGTGCTTTATACATAAAAGGAGTAGATTTTTCTTTGCCCACCTCAGCCAAACCAAACAAAACAAAAACAAATTTTGTACCCTCAGGGGCAATATTGCCTCCATTGAGGATGCGTGCTTTAAAACAATTATTTTGCATGTTTGTCTTCCTTCCTTGAGAGAAAGGGAATATCTTGCTCATCTTTTCAACTTTGGATCCCCAATATATTACACATTTCCTGACACATAGGAACCCAGTAACTGCACATTGAATGTGTGAACAAATGGAGTGCTTACAGGTGAGAAAACAGGGTCTCAAATATAAATGATTTCCTAGCCTACTAGACACTCAAGTCAGTATTTTAACTTACGACTTTTGACTCTATGTCTCTTTGTATTTCCACTACACCACATGTTCTTTGTGCATATCATCAATATTCTATAGTAATTTATAGTTGAAAAATGTTTTAACATACATTAAAAAAATGCATGATGATTGATTTAACCATAAGTCATAATCTGCTTTTTTCTGAGTTAGGTCTGGCATGCTCCAAAAGAATGAATAGATTACTTTTGACCTCTTGGATATGAGACATAAAGGAGGGGGAAAGGGAAGAGTCAAAAGATGACCATTGAGGGTTTTCGTTTGAACAATTAAGTATATGGTGGTGACATTCACTGAGCTTAGAGAAAGAAGACAAATATGTTGGGGTAAAGATAATAAATTTAACTCAGTCCTAACTAGGCAATGTTGTAAAAGAAGCTGGATATCTGCTATCTGGTTCTCAAGAAAAAGAAATGAGATTTTATATAGACTTAAGACTCTATATGCTGATAGAGCATATGGATTTTAATTAAAATCGTAGGAGTAGATGAAATAACCCCTGGTAAAGGACTATAAGAGAACTTTGGAAAACATTTCAAGAATGTTAAGGGAAGAAGTATTTTTTAAAAACAAGAGACTGAAATGTCTAGAACTGAATTACCCAAAATATGATAGTATGCTATCAATTGGTTACATGATTTATCATGACATTGATCCTTTATACTTTCAGAAGGCCATGTGGGGCCTGGGGTGGTCAGAGGCACTCCTCAGGCTGGTTACTTCCAGCCATAAGCAGTTTTGTCTGTTACCCCAATGTGAGTACAAATATCATTTGTTATATGTTCTATGATGTGAAAAAAATGTTGGAAAGTATTGGACTGAGATATAGGGGGCAATGATTAATAATACCAAAGAGTGTCATTGAGTGATAGATCATTGATAGACCTTGGTAAAAGTAGTATCAGTTAATTAGTATGTGTGCAAGCCAAATTTGAGTAGCTTGAGGAATGATGTGAGGTAAGGATTTGAATATAGTGGATTTAAATATATTAGAAACCCCAAGGTATTGGAAATTTAATGTTCTATCTCATTGCTCCACCATTTATTGCTTCTATTGACAAAATCATGTCACCATACAAGATAGATGTGGGAACTCCAATTATTTTGTCCACATTCCATCAAGCAGGAAGGAGAGAGATTACCAGAGAAGGAAAGTTCTCTTCAATTAAAACATACTATCAAGTAATTGCACTCACCATTTCAGCTAAGTCCCATTGGCAAGGAATATGTCTTATTTTTGGTGGCCCAAATCTAATGTTAAAGAAGACAAGAAGAATTACTCTATTGAGAGACAACTGTCTGTCTGCCACAGCAGATATTTTTAAGAAGTTTCATTGTGAAGGAGAGGTGAGAATATGGAGTTAACTGGATGGGAAAGTGGAGAGGGAAGCGAGACTGTTTGTTTTGAAGAACAGAGATACGAGCATGTTTATTAAAATTGAGCCATTAATGAAGAAGTTGAAAATACAGGAAAAAGATCATAGTTGGAACCTTTTGCTTTGGTAATTGGAAATGGAGAAAAATACATGTTTTAAATGCAGTAAACTTGTAGGTATTTTGACAGGAAGGTAAGTAACATTTCATGTGGTATTTCATAATGCACGTTGATATGACCAATATTATTTTCTAAATCTAGAAATTCAATTCTGGAACATATCTGGCCCCAAGGATTTGAGAGATGGAATTTGAAGACCTCTATTTTGGTAAAATAGCTAAAGTGAAAATCTACAAATTCTGCTTGCTTTCCATTGAATTTTTTGGGGAAATTTCACTATAATTTTTTAAAACTTCCCCTCAAAGTTCATGGCATTGTATACAACAAACTGGCCATGTGTTTTTGGGGCAAGTCACTATCGCCCTGAAATTCATGTTCTTTAACCATCAAATGAGGATAATAAAGCCTTCCTAAAGGGGTATGGTGTAAAATAATAAAATGTATGTGAAAAAATGACTTTTTAATCTGTAAGCTATACTGCAAATATGAATAATTATACTTTTCTTTATGTTCATAACTGGCATTATTCTTCAACAATCTATTTAGAATAGCTCTCACATTCACAAAACAAAATTATTCTTTCTAACTATTGACAGATTCTTAATGATTAGCTCACAGAATGGCGCACACTAGTGAGTATAAATTGGCAAGTAAGTCTTCCTAGTGTGACTGCTCCTACAGGTGTTAGCCAGTTTTGACATGGATTGTTGTAAGTTTCATACTGTTACTAAAAGATAAAATGCCAAGGTAGAAAAAAACCAAATCCTTTTAAGTGACAAAGAGATAACTACTAGTTATCCGCTGGCTTTCATTACATCTATCAGAAGGTCTTAGTTTCTTTCTAAAGTAACTTTATAATTGCCTGAAATAATGGACAAATTAAACAAGTACTATTTTTTTTAAGACAATAAGGAGACTTAATCCTTTCATTCTCTTTCTTATGGGAAAGAAATAAGCAAAATTAACAAAAAGGACTGTTATTTCAACCCAAAGTTATGATAGATAAGGTAGTGGTAGTAGCAATACTAATAGTAATAGTAGTAATAGTAGCAATCATCAACTTCTCATATTCTTTTGTAAATCAATTATCATTTTATGTAAGTTTTAAAAATTTTTTCCCAAAATCTTAGTCAGTAAGTCAGGTACCTTTTCTAGTACAAAATTATTTACAAATTTTCCTAAAGCAAATTACCAAAGAGGGAAAAGTTACCATAGCTAGATATTTCTTCAAGAATGGTGGAGGGTGGGAGGGATGGGGTGGCTGGGTGATAGACACTGGGGAGGGTATGTGTTATGGTGAACGCTGTGAATTGTGCAAGACTGTTGAATCACAGATCTGTACCTCTGAAACAAATAATACATTATATGTTTTAAAGAAGAAGAAGAAGAAGAAGAAGAAGAAGAAGAAGAAGAAGAAGAAGAAGAAGAAGAAGAAGATAGCAGGAGGGGAAAAATGAAGGGGGGAATCGGAGGGGGAGATGAACCATGAGAGATGATGGACTCTGAAAAACAAACTGAGGGTTCTAGAGGGGAGAGGGGTGGGAGAATGGGTTAGCCTGGTGATGGGTATTAAAGAGGGCATGTTCTGCATGGAGCACTGAGTGTTATACGCAAACAATGAATCATGGAACACTACATCAAAAACTAATGATGTAATGTATGGTGATTAATATAACATAATTAAAAAAAGAAGAAAAAAGAATGTTTTGCAGATTTTAGTACTTAGGAGGAATAATATAAGTATCTGAGGTCACTGTAACAAAGTCATCAACAATTTAGCATTTCAAAATTAATTGATTTTAAATTTTTATTATTTTTGAAATGTGTTGTTTACCTTTTTCCTATAAAAATGAGTATAAGAATACTGATATGCAAAATCAATATACTCCCAGTATAGATTCCCAGAATATGGATGATTTTATGTTACTCTGTATTTCCAGAACTGATTCTCATGAGGAGGCGGTCAGAAACAGAAGGATACATAGATGAGCTTGTTTTATGTTAATCTCATTCTGTATATAGAATATTAATAGAAAAAAACAAGCTCAATGGTTTTCTCAATAGATAAAGTAATGAAATTTTCAAAAGGGGTAATTGTTGAGCTGATAATGATTTCTGGTAAATGGAAATATTTGGGCAATGAATTTTTCATATATCCCTAAATTAAAACTATATAGTTTTGTTTCATGGATTTGTAACATGTTCTTCCCAGAACATTAAATGCAGTCAACTGCATTTAAATATACATACATTTTATCATTATGACTAGAAGTTCAAATGTGTTTTAGCATGTGTGTAAGAAGAATGTGGCCAATTTGAATAAAATGAAATATTTTTTACCATTGAGAAAAAAAGTTTATTGGTTGAATGAACTTTTACTCAATATTTTTTGAGAGGGCAGAGAATGGCTTCCTAATTGCATTAAGATAACAAAAAGAAACTTCCAGTTATGATGACTATTTATGTTCTCAATTTAAATAACTTGAAAAAATATAGATCAATAGTGTGCAGACTCTGGACAAAAGAAAGCATATAACTTTGTTACTTGAGGAAAGGGAATCAAATGAATTAAGACTTATACTGTCTAGAAGTCAATGAGATGGACCCAAAATAAAATATATATTCATATATATGAGCTTTTCCAGTAGAAAAATCAATCAACAGAAACAGATCCAGAAAAATGTGAATATTAAAGTAGCTATTACAGTATGGTTTATATGCTCAA